CGGCGGCGACGATAAGGGCGAATAGCCCAGAGGCGGGCGTTACACGTATTCGCCCAGGAGCCTTGTCGAAGACATGTCACCGGCGCACCTGAATACATGTATTACTCTCCACTGGGCTAGTCGCCCGTCGTCGCCTCTGAGGAATTGCAATTTAATTGAAAAACGCATCAGTCACCGCAGGGGGGGGCAACAGTAAATATTTATCAGAAGTGAGCGAACAACACCAACCACACTCATGTTACCCTCATGCGCGATGTTTCCACACGGAACATGCGACCATCATGATAACCATCCCCATCATGGGGGATACATGTTCTATAACGGGTCCGTTATTCCCATTCCAAGATCTCCCGCCCGATGAGGTCTTGCAAACACCTCTTCCGAGGAAGTTCAACATATCCAGTCTCGAAACCGCATGCCCGCGCCTTGCTGCGCCGATGCGAAACCGCCAGTGGAGCTCCAGCCAAGGGTAAAGCACAATGACGTATCGAGCGACAGGATTGCCTTGGTGGGGATGGGGGCTGTCGGCGGCGAGGCAAGGACCTGGCCCTGAATAGAAAGGGAGGGGTCTCGAGCAGGGCCGCTGCTGCTGCTGGGAGCGGCGCCAATGCTGAAGAGAGTAGGGCGCTCGCCCAGCGTAAAACACAACGAAGACTCGAGCGGGAACGCTGGTTTTGTCGGGACGGCGGTTTTCGGCGGCGAGGAGGAGCACGACCTTGAGAAAAAAAGGGAGGAAGTCTCGAGAGGGAGCGTTGTTGTTGATGGGGGCGGCGCCGATGAAAGAAAAGGTAGCGCGCCAGCAAGTCTCGAGCGGTAGCGTTGGTTTTGTTGCGACGGCGGCTTTCGGCGGCGAGCAAGAGCACCAGCCCTGAGTAAACAAGGAGGAAGTCTCGAGCGGGAGCGCTGTTGTTATTGGGGGGCCGGTTTTGGCACGCCCCAAAACCTCTCGAGCGTGAGCCTCACTTTCAATGAAAATGTAGCTGGTGCCGAGGCGAGAGCGTCAAAGCGCCTGGGAAGGTCCAACAATTCTAATTGTTTAGTTAACATTCAACAGCAACAGCAGCAACAACAACAACAACAACAACAACAACGCCAGCAACACCAACAACACCAACAACGGCAGCAACAACATAAACAACAACAACACTCGTTGTAAGACTGTTCGCTCTTACTGGCACGCGTGTCTTGCATTCCGTGTCCCCCAACCCTCGATACCTGCCCACTTCGTCTTCGATTGCACCCTGTTTCGGGGGGAAGATCGTGCTTGTCGGCAACTGACCGAAGTTCGAGGATCTCTCGAGCGAGAGCGCTGTTCCTGAATTCGGGGGCCTTTCTGGCCAGGGGCTATCGGAATACACATTGAAACATATCGAAAAGGAACCATTGTGGCCGTGTCTGGGCCCCCGCCGACTTGTCTGAATCACGACAAAATCTCAACCGCGAGCGCACTCTTGAAAACGGTGACCTCTTTGGCCAGGGCCTTTGGGAATACATACTGAAGAGATAAAGCGAGAACCTCTGTCGTCGCAATTGAGCCTCCACCAATTTGACTGAATCGCGAGAAAATCTCCAGCGACAGCGCCGTTTCTGAGTTCGGGAGCCTTCCGGGCCAGGGGCTCTCGGAGTAAATGGTGAAGGAACATCGAACAGGAGTCCTTGTCGTCGTGGCTGGGCCTCCGCCAACTTGCCTGAATCACGACAAAGTCTCCAGCGAAAGCGTCACTCTTGAGTTTGGGGGCGTCTCTGGCAAGGGCCCCTGGGAATACATCTTGAGGAAGTATCGAACGAGAGCCCTTGTCGTCGTAATTAATTGGGCCTCCACCAATTTGACTGAATCACGAGAAAGTCTCGAACGACAACGCCGTTCCTGAGTTCGGGGCCCTTCCTGGCCAGGGGCTCCCGGGGTAAATCGTGAGGGAAATATCGAACAGGAGCCTGTGTCGTCGTGGCTGGGCCTCCGCCAACTCGATTGAATTGTGAATGCCTCGAGCGAAAGAGCCGTTCCTGAGTTCGGGGGCCTCTCTGGCAAGGGTGTTTCGAGGTAAATTGTGAGGAAATGTCGAGCGGGAGCCGTTGTTGTTGAGCCGGGCCTCGACGGGCACACATTTTCACACAAACCCGCGCACGAGACGGAGCCTCGTTTTCAGAAGAATTGCAGCCGGCATCGAAGCGAGAACGCACGGAACCGTTTCCAGAGATCTGCAATAACTATCCGATAAAAAACAAATTTTCAACAATGACAACGACACCACCACCACCAACTACAACAACAACCACAATAATCACAACAACAACAACAACAACAACAACAACATACACAACGACAGCAACAGCAACAGCAACAGCAACAGCAACAGCAACAGCAACATCACCAACAACAACAACCATTGAAATACTGTTCGCTCTTATCTGCTCGAGTGTCATTCAGCGTGTATTTCCCCCAGCCCTCGATACCCGCCCTCTTTGTCTTCGATCGTGCCCGTTTTGGGGTGTATATCTTCTTTCCCTGCCGGCCGGGCCCCGGCAAGCGGCGGGGCGGTCGCGGACCGTCGACCTGGCCAGCGCTAGTGCTGATCGGCGGTAACCCGACCCCAAGAGGGATGGACAGTGGTCCGACCACGACGACGACGACGACGACGACGACGACGACGACGACGACGACGACGACGACGGCGACGACGACGACGACGGAAGCGGCGGCGGCGACGACCACGACGATGACGACGACGACGACGACAAGCAAAAGCGAGAGCGAGAGCGGGGCCACGAAGGGCAGGAAGGGGGCCACGAAAGGCGACAGCGGGGCCACGCAGGGCATGCATATGGGGCCACGGAGGGCGTGAACGAGCGGGGGCCACGAAGGGCATACGTATACTGGGCCGCGAGGGTAAGGACGGGGCCACTCAGGGCAGCAACGGGGCCACGAAGGGCAGCGAGAGGGCCACGAAGAACGACATCGGGGCCACGAAGGGCATGCATATGGGGCCACGGAGGGCGCGAACGAGCGGGGGCCACGAAGGGCATAGATATATGGGGCCACGAAAGGCAAGGTAGCGAGGAGGCCGCGAAGGGCTGCAACGGATTCACGAAATGCAGCGAGGGGGTCACGAAGAGGTGCAACGGAACCACGAAGAGCAGCGAGGGGGCCACGAAGGGCTGCAACGGGGCCACGAAGGGCAGCGAGAGGGCCACGAAGGGCTGCAACTGGGCCACTGCGGGGAGCAATGGCTGCAACGGGGCCACTGAAGGGCCGCAACGGGCCACGAAGGGCAGCGAAGAGGCCACGAAGGGCTGCAACGGGGCCACGAAAGGGCAGCGAAGAGGCCACTGAGGGCAGCGAGGGGGCCACGAAAAGCTGCAACGGGGCCAGTGAGGGCAGCGAGGGGGCCATGAAAGGCTGCAACGGGCAACGAAGGGCAACGAGTGGGCCACGAAGGGGTGCAACCGGGCCACGAAGGGCAGCGAGGGGGCCACGAAGGGCTGCAACGGGCCACGAAGGGCAGCGAGGAGGCCACGAAGGGCTGCAACGGGGCCACGAAAGGCAGCGAGGGGGCCACAAAGGGCGACAGCGGGGCCACTGAGGGCAGCGAGGGGGCCGCGAAGGGCTGCGACGGAACCACTGACGGCATCGAGGGGGCCACGAAAAGCTGCAACGGGCCACGAAGGGCAGCGAGTGGGCCACGAAGGGCTGCAACGGGGCCACGAAAGGCAGCGATGGGGGCCACGAAGGGCTGCAACGGTCCACGAAGGGCAGCGAGGGGGGCACGAAGGGCTGCAACGGTGCCACAAAGGGCAGCGATATCCCGATTCCTAAGTCAGCTGTGAGGGAGTCCTAAGCGTGAGCGCGAGTCCTGGGTGCCTGAGTGTCGTGAGCGCGGCGCTTGAATAAAGTGCAGGCAGTTCCAGCGCAAGAGCGCGATCCTCAAGCAAATCGCAAGCAAGTGTCCAGCGAGAGCGCGACTCCAGAGCGCCGAAAGAGCGATTCCTGCATAAACTGCGCGGGGGTCCTGTCCGCATTGTGAGGAAGTCTCCAGCGGGAACCGTTGTTGTTGCTGCTGCTGTAATCCAACGTCCAACAACCCAGTTTGAGCCCCGAGAGTTTCCCTGACAAAACAAAATGCGAAACCGAGGGGCAGCACTCCAATTAACAAAAAAAAAAACAGAATGGTCACCGGAGGGGAGGGATCAACAATACTTATCCGTCAATATGTAGTGAGAACTCACAAGCATCAACAGAAACAGCAACAACGGCTCCCGCCTGATATTTCCTCACAAACTATTACCAAATCCCTCTCCCGCCAGGGTTTTCCTCGCAATGCATCCAGGAATCCCGCTCTCGCGTCGGACTTCCTCGCAATTAATTCCAGCGCCGCGCCCTCGACTCTCAGAAATCATGCTCTCGTTGTGGATTTCGTCACGATGCATTTGGGAGTCGCGCTGTCGCTCGAGATTCCTTGCGATTCATGCAAGACGCACGCTTCAGCAACCCGCCTGCTCGACCTGGTCGCCTGGGCCTGCCTTCCCGACCCGCCTGTTAGGGTCTACCCGCCCGATCTGCCCGTTTGGTTCTGCCGCGTGTGTTCTGCTCCTAGCCCCCTCGGGCTACTCTTTCTCTCTCTGGTGCTCCATCCGTCCTCTCTTCCCCTGCATTAGGGTCTGCACGAAATAGGCGTTGCAGGTAAGAAGGTATACCCCTAAGGGGTTACGATCGACGACGGAGAGGGCTGGTATCGAGTGTGTGGGATATACGTGTTGAATGGCACGCGAGCAGAGAAGAGCGAACAATATTGAAATGATGATTCCTAAGCTTTCCGGGAAGACACGCAAAGCCTCTCAAAGGTGCGAGGGCTTCTGAGAAGTCCCGCCGCCTTCTGACAAAGCCTTCTCCTTTTCACTTCCCCCCTCGCCCGCCGCCGAAAGATGCGGTGGTGCTTTTAAGAGGCCCCCCCCCTCCCCCTCCCCCCCTTTGGCGCGCGGCCGAAGGTGGGCGGCTGGGGAGCCCGCTCTCGAGCGCGCCGGCTAGGGAGGGCGGCAAGGCGGCCGCCATGTCTCTCCACCTGTCGAAGGTGGGCGCGAGGGTGGCGGGGGGGTGAGGGGAAGCATCCCACCTGGGGTCCGAGTAGATGGTGTCGGAAGATTGCACCGCGTCGCCGATGTATCGGCAACGTATCGGCGATGCATCGGCGATGAATCGGCGAGGTCGGCGATGCATCGGCGACGTCGGTGTGGAGAACATCGGGCTCCACATCGAGCCGCATCGCCGATGCATCGGCGATGCGGCATGATCCTCTGACTCATCTACTCCGACACCATCTGGGAGACTTATTGAGAGGGGAGAGGATCTCTTACTGGTTCTCACTGGTACGTAGCAGCTAGCAAAGTGATTTCTACTTACTTGCAATTCATATGAAAAGGGCTCGAATGTTATGACCAAGATCGTCCATAGCACCCGGCGCTCGTGGCTTGCCTTCCGTGGCCAAGCTGCGCGCACGTGTGGGCCGAGTGGCCGACTGGTGCTCTGGCGCCTACTTGGCGGGATGGCAGCGTCGGCAAAGGTTGGCCAGGCTTCTGATTCCCGCCCTCTGCTTTTTCTGGACGGATTGCGACTTCAATCGGGAGAGCGCAAACATGGATTAGCGATCCATGGATTTGGCGCGAGGTCGCCAAACCCATGGATCGGGGGAAGTACCCTCCCCAAAATGCGGCCGGTGCCGCCTCGTTCGGCAGCGGAAATCTGCGATTTCCCAAGGAAACAGGGCCCGCCGATAATCCACGCCCCCTTGATCCCTTTTTGCGATCGCCTGATTCGACTTCCCCCGGTGGAGAGGGACGCTCGAAGGAACGAGTAAACTAACGACACCACCTCCACCAGCGCGAGGCGCCAGAGAGGATACTTCCTGGTGTTGTGTTTCACGCCTCTCCCACGAGACGTTCCCCATCCCCGGCTCGGTGAAGCATTGTGGACCCCCGCGCTGTAATTGGCCCCCCTGGTCGCGGTAGTGTCGCCTCTCCTTCCTCCAAGACTGGGGGGAAGGCGGGGGAGCGGATCGCATGAAGCAAGCATGACCAGAGCCTTTCGTATTTCTTGGGTCGGCTGTGGACCCAGCCTGGCGGCGCCCCTGGCGCAGATCCAAAAATTTCGCGCGGACCCCCACAAGAGGTGTAGATCTAGCTTGATGTTTTCCGATTGGAGGGGAAGGGGCAGAAACTGTCGTGTCTGTTGCCCCATCTGGAGCTGAACAGTGGAGACTGCCGGCATATGCGAGAAACCAACAATGGTTTTGCCGATACTCGCCTTGGGTGCCCCTGGCAGAACCATCTTGAGCGCCTCTTGGCGCCATCTTGGCGTCTCTTGCACCGTCCTGGGTGCTTCCCGCGGCCGTCCTGGGAACCCCCTGCGGCCCCCTGGGGCCCTCTTGGTGGCCTCAAGGCATTATCATCCTGGGCCGCCTGCTGAGGCCCATGGAGACATGGAAAGCTGCCAACTCGGCCGCAACTGACAGGCGCATTGGAGGGGGGGGTCGGGGCCTCCGCCACCAAGAATCACCCCTCCCTACTATCGGGGGAACGTAAGACTCGAATATACGCCGGAACTCGAATATACGCACGGTTCAACCGTGCCCCTTCTGCGGAGCTGAGCACGGCGATTGCGCAAGGCAGTGAGATGAGTGCAGCGTTTTAGTTTCCGTTCGCAGGGGGCTCAGCCCAGAGTACGCGCAACTGACTGTTGGCAAGCTCTGGCTGCAGGAGGATGTTGCTGGCGGGGGAGAGCTACAAAGGGTCCTTGCGTACACGAGCGCGGTGGTGCGACTTCGCAGGCTCCTGCTCCAACCCGGCGTTGCCTTCTACGACCTTGAAGACATGATACGCCACGCTCGGCGCTTGAGCGAGGATCCGTGGATCACGGGGTCTCCGGTTGAGAGTACTCGGGCCGAGCGGCGTGCCCTGCGCGCAAGACCTCCCACCTACGCTGAGGGGTGGGTCGTCTACGCTTCGGACGGAGCGAGCCGGCGTCAGGGCACTGCAGAGGTGAGCTTATCTTCGTTCGGGTGTGTTCGTTACGCCGAAGGCAGCCGGCGCGTCGCGGCCTCCCGCGGTGCGCAGCTTGGCCACGTCACAAACAATGTTGCGGAATACACTGGTTTGTTGGAAAATCTGCAGCATGCTTTTCTGTACCCTGCCGAGCACATCCGGTTTCACGTCGACTCGTTGTTGCTTGCTCGTCAGGTCAACTGCCAGTGGCGGTGCCGAGCGCCTTCGTTGCGGCCGCTCTTCGAGACAGCATTGCGGAGACTGCGAGAGCTGCGCCGCCTGCCTGCCGTGCGCGCGTGTGAGGTCATCCATGTCTACCGAAAGTTTAACGTTGATGCTGACGCCGTGTGCAACACTGTTTTGGATATGGTCGCCGATGGCATCGCGCCGGAGCGCACGGGTTTCCATGTCTCGCACAATTGGGAAGCTTTTGACTCAGGCGCCTGACCTAGATGCGTATCGGTGGCAACACCGGGGCCGCTGCAGTTCGTCCCCTGTTCTGTGGAACCGCTCTGACCATTTGCCGCCCGACCAGCTGTCTGCTCGGAGGGGTGGAGGACAGGAGGTGGGAGGAGAGGACGGATAAGATCTTAGACGAATGACTACACTGATTTGTTAGGCCGCGGGCCCCGTTGTACGGCCCGCTCATTGATAGGTCGCGAACCCCGCAAACGCGTTCGCATAACTTTTCATCACGACGATTCCTTTGGTTACTCGCGCAGCGGGTGATTTCTCCAGCCACACATTCGTGTATACATGCACTGCTGCTCATTGCACCTTCTTCCTTTTCTCTTAATTAATTATTATTTACCATCCGTCCTCCTTCCTCCCTCACCCACAGCAAATATCAGAACGGTCTGGATTAGTTCAGGCATACAATTGCCGTCTGACCATTTGACATGTTCACAACCTCCCAGAAGTATTCCGTGACATCTTCACTCTGCCGTTGCAGAGCGCTCGTCCGCAAAAAAAAACAAAAACGAGCGCGTCATGCCTTGTGACGGTCGAATTGTCGTGAGAAGTATGCAGCGGGGGCTCGTGTCAAATCATAGACTGGGTCTCGTCATTTTCATGATTGCCTCGTCAAGCCAACCCCGAGTCCCCCGAACCCCGTCGCTGTCATCCCGTTTACCAGGCTCGCTTGCGCGAGGCTGCCCCTGGTGAGTCCGCTGGAGGAGTTCGGCCCCAGAGCAGGGCCAGATCGCCCGAAGTGCAGGGCGCAGTCGGAGATTCGACCACAGATGTCCCCAAGATGATTCGAGACAGCTCGAGACTGAAAAAACAATGTTTCTGGGCTTCGGACTTCTCGTCTTTGCGGGCTCAAATGGGCTTCTCAAGCCCAGCTGAAGTGGCCCCATGATGGCCCAAGAGGGCTTCAAGAGAGCACCGACTCCGCCTCGAAAAGCCAAGCGACTCAAATTCGGTTTTCCTTTGCACATGCTCTGCACCGTCCAGAAGGCACCCACCATGTCCAAGATGTCCCAATACTGCTCACAACTGCCGAAAATTACGGCCAACATCAGTCAATGAACTCCTGCATCCCTCCCTCCTTGTGGCCGGGGTCCTCTTCTGGAATGGAGTTCCTTCATTCTCCGCTCTCTTTCTTCTCTGTGCGCACTGCGTCAAACAATATACACTCTCAACTGTCTTGGTGGTTCTTGATAGCTGTGCGCAGACGCCTTCGAGATTCCGACTTTGCGAGTGCCCCGCATACTAAGGATCCTGTCCATCTCTCCATCTCCGTAGCGCGTGGGTCGCTTGTGAGCTGTGTAACTCATGGGCTGTGACTTGAATGTCCGATCAATCACAGATCAACAAGATGGTGTTGCAACGTGTCGTAATGACTTATTTCGACTGACTCTACATTGTGCAATCTTGCACGCTTCTATTCGTCGTCGTAACTCTAGCCCGTGCACAAACATATAGTTACATGCCTACGGTCTGCGTCGTGCCAACCGCCGGCTTATCATCCCGCGAACCCGCCGATGTGAAATGCATGATCGTGCATCACGGGTTCGAGCTCCCGTGCCGCGTGCTAGAGACAGGAAGGAGAAAGAAAGGGTATCTGCATCATAACCTTCTCTGTCACATCGAACTCGTGTGCCCCACATGTAGACTTTTCCAGCGGGCGGCACCTATCGGATCTGTCACCTTCTCGGGGCAACTAAACATGAGATCTCCCGAACGCTATTGCTAAAACACACACAACGAAACCGAATTTCGAGACATGTTATATGATTCCGCGATTCCCCCCCCTCTAGCTAACCAGTCCACTGGCAGGTGCCGCGGAGGTCAACTGTTCCTGGGCCTGAGCGACACGTGTCGCCTTCTTTGTACTTTGTGTGTGTGCGTGTGTGAGGCGAGGGATCAAGAGATGGCGCCGCAATCGCAAGCGTGTAGGTAACTCTTCAGTTGGCGCGCCGCGATGTGAGAGCGACGAATGAGCTGCCGGTCCCTCCTCTATCAATAATGTCCTTTTCTCGCCCTCCCTTCTTACAGCCACCTCCCTCCCCCCCGCTGGAATGGCCTCGACCGTGCACAAGAAGGCCGCTTCCTCGCAACGAACCCAACCCCGCAAAAATCTCTGCACCCCAAGGATGCACACAAGGATCCCCCCCCTCGCGCGGGGCCTGTCGGAAACCGGCGCGTCCCCGCGGCTCATCGGCCCGGTCGGAATATGCTTGAAGAGCACCACGCGGTGCTCCTCGGGGAGGTTGTTCGGCACGATTATGACAGCCGTCAAATGGAGAAAGAGAAAGAGAGAGAAAGAGAGAGAGAGAGAGATATGGAAGTGCATGTATCATTATATGTCGTATCCTTAGTTTTATTGGAATGCGTGATATTAATATAAAAATATATTTGTGCATGTACATGTATGTATGGTTATGTATATATATACACAAAAACTACGCGCGCGTTTCGCGCGCGCTTAAGTTCTGGCACGCCCCACCCCTCGACAAGCTCACGCGCACACTTCGTGGGGGGCATCTCGGGGGCCTTGTCAGCGCTATTGGGCGCCTCTTGGGGGCGTCCCTTTTTTTTGGGGGGGGGCCGGATGGGGTCTCAAGAGGGTTCGGAGACCATGGGCCACGATCAGATGATGAATGCCGTGCCACCTCCCCAGTGGCACAGCGGCCAGAGCCGAAGGCCAGCGTTCGGGAGCACCCGCAGACCTCGACCAGGTCCAAGACAACGATCCTTCGGGGAGCACCCATCTACCCCGCGGTGTGTCAGGGGCACGCGGTGGCAGCGCTCCATCAAAAGAGTCGGGAGGACGAGGCGGAGGACGAGAGGGGGAACACACAAGTGACAAGTGTGAGACCATGCAGCAGAGTGAATTTGGTGTCGGCGAGCGGCGATGCAGAGGCGGGTTTCGAAGTGCTGTTGAGGTGTCCCCAGACGGCCCAGACGACGGGCATTATGGGCGGCCAGAAAGGCATCCACACAGGCTGCGCGCATTAAGCAAGACTGGATGTCATAAAAAAGGAGGAGGGCAGAGGTAAACCAACACGGGCGCACGGGCCGAAAACGCACAGGATGATCATAAACCTGAATAGCTCCCAGGAGCCAAGATTTGAAAACTCATGTAACCTCGGACATTGGGAATAGTGTCGAATAGAGTCCAGATCCTCATTATTCTCAGGAATAGGGCAGCCTAGAAGACAACCTGCAGCCGCTTGGTGGAATCGAGCAGGCGTGTTAAAGGATGCGGTCAGCAGGCGCAGCGGTGCCACGGCCATGTAAATAGAATCACATGCTTGGCTGCGAGGATGATTCAATCAATATGCTTAGCGTGCTCGACGAAGTGGCGATTCACTGACAAGTTCAGACGGATGCAGTAGCCGACTATATTTATAGAGTTTGGCCTGCAGCGACGACGACGACCCAGGGAGCCCATGAGGAAGTCCAGAGAACCAAACCCTTCGCTGACGCATACACCCCATGAAAGGTTTTTGATGCCAGCCACGATGCCACCGATGCGGAGCGTGCTCCCTAGAAGCTCCCAGGACGCCCCCAAGAGGGCGCCTCTTGGGGGCGTCCTGGGAGCTTCTATGGGGGCCTCTTGGGGACCTCTTGGGGCGTCTTGGAAGCTTCTAGGGGGCCTTGTTGGGCCTGTTGGAAAGCATTTTGGGCGCCTCTTGGGGATTCGTGGGGGCCTCTAGGGGCGGAGAGCTTCAAATGTCCGCTCGGGGACCCCATCTGGGCTCCTTCTTGGGGCGTCCTGGGGCCCTCTTTGGCCGTCTTGGGGCCCTCTTGGGCCGTCTTGGAGCCCTCTCGGGAGCCTCTGGGGCCGCTTTGGGACGATCTTGGGGGCCTCTCGGGCCGTCTTGACGCTGTGAAAGCCCGAGAGGCAAATATGGTAAATCTGTACGTTTCCAAGAAGGCCCCGAGTGGCCGAAAGATCGCTCCAAGACGCGAAAGATTGCCTCAAGATTGCCCGACATACCTCCCCGCCACGCGATGGGTTCAGATCCCAACCGGACGCGTGAGATCCCAACCGGACGGTTCAGATCCCAACCGTCATAAACACCAGGCACGGTCAGATCCCAACCGAGGAGGAAGCGAATAAAGAAAACATATTGAAATGTTACCATACTTGTTCATTGCTATCTGAAATTGCGATGAACACCTTACAGGAGCCGATTTACGCCTGAGATATTGCGGTTGGGATCTCGCGCGTCTTTTGCTGGATCGTAGTAGTGGTAGAAGTAGTACTGGTAGTTGTAGCAGTAGTAGTACTAGTAGTACTCGTAGTAGTAGTAGTAGTAGTAGTAGTAGTAGTAGTACGAGTAGTAGTACTAGTAGTAGTAGTAGTAGTAGTAGTAGTAGTAGCAGTAGTAGTAGTAGTAGTAGTAGTAGTAGTAGTAATAGTAGTAGTAGTAGTAGTAGTAGTAGGCGTGGTAGTAGTAGTAAAAGTAGTAGTAGTAGTAGTAGTAGTAGTAGTAGTAGTAGTAGTAGTAGTAGTAGTAGTAGAGGTCGTAGTAGTAGTAGTTGTACTAGGAGTCGTAGTAGTAGTAGTAGTAGTAGTAGTAGTAGTATTAGTAATTAGTAGTAGTTCGTAGTAGTAGTAGTAGCAGTAGTGAAAGTAGTAGTAGTAGTAGTAGTAGTAGTACTAGTAGTAGTAGTAGTAGTAGTAGTAGTAGTAGTAGTAGTAGTAGTACTCGTAGAAGTCGTAGTAATAGCAGTAGTGGTAGTATGAGAAGTAGTAGTAGTAGTAGTAGTCGTAGTAGTAGTTGTAGTAGTGGTAGTCGTAGTCGTAGTAGTAGTAGTAGTAGTAGTAATACTAGTAGTAGTAGTAGTAATAGTAGTAGTAGTAGTAGTAGTACTCGTAGAAGTCGTAGTAATAGCAGTAGTAGTAGTAGTAGTAGTAGTCGTAGTAGTAGTTGTAGTAGTGGTAGTCGTAGTCGTAGTAGTAGTAGTAGTAGTAATAGTAGTAGTAGTAGTATGCGCATGAGCAGGAGTAGTGG